CTCACACTTAGGCAACATCCATTAATCACGTGATTTTTTGAACCCACCCTCTTCCTTGGTGATACGTCTTTGATATTTAAAATTACCACCCCCCCCCCCCTGCCACACCAAACATCACGTGTATTTTTAGTGACGTAAATTTTTTCAAACGAATTTTTCGGATGCACAAAAAAATCGTATATTTTTTTGAAAATTCAGGTAAAAAATAAATACACGTGATATATTACTAAAAAATAAATACACGTGATATATTACTAATCCCCTCCCTCCCGCATTTGATATTTCGTAATTTTTTGTCAAAGCCTCGCTCCCCCTAAAAGCCTCATGTGATTAATGGACGCCCCTTATTTGGAATTTGTTGAGATTTTGTGAATTTATAAAATTTATAATCAGAATAAGTGAAAGAAATATGGAATACCTATAAACAGTTATGTAATACTACCTCTAACCTTTACAATCCATACTAGTCGACTAGCTTATAAAATTCACAAAAATTATTAGATGATTAAACTGAAATTCTATTAAAAAATCGTTTGAAAATCTCTTATCCTGAAACCTCATTATTACTTTAAAACTTACCTTCTTAAAAGCCAAAATATCAAGGAAAACTTATTTAAACTATACAATTATTATGATTTCTTTTTGTGATTATTATAATAAAGTAATTTATTATAATAAAAATTAAAATACTATATATATATATATTATATATATTATATATATACACAAGTGTGTGCCTGTGTGTGTTTCCAAATATTTATCGCGCACTACTTATCCATACCTTCGTATGAGATTCTGCGATAGCTCGAAGCCCATCAACCCATTCTTGTCTGGCCCTAGCGTCTTCTGCCCGCAGTTTCAGAATATCACCAGATGCGCAATTTATGGTAAACGACTTCGAGTCTTCGTCACTTGGACATATGACTGCGGCAGCCAAATGAACCTGAAAAAGAATATTTCTTCTAAAAAAACTACCATTTTAGAAAGAACTAATATTTGTGAATAAGTAATTTAAATGCAAATGCGTAGCTAATTTGCACGCTTTTTTAATTATAACTAGTCATGTATGGCAAATTGCTGAAACTTCCCGTACAAAAAATTAAATTTTTAAAAGAAGATTAATTATGTTCTAAACTTTGAAAAAATTAGATTTTGAAAAAAAAATTTGGAAAAAAAAAACTTTTGGGAAAAAAATGTTTTTTTTTAGTTTGAAATATTTTGGAAAGTTTGAACTTTTTTTCCAAGCAATCGCAATGTTTTTAGCTGCATAGAGACGCACTGCTGTAGCTGCAATATCGAAGCACGTAAGCGCCGCGTCGCCGTCTAACAGACAAACAATGTTACACATTATTAAAATCTCCATAAAATATCCGATAATTTGGTGTGTATATGTCTAATGATCATTTTTGACCTCAAAATGGCATTTTCTTTTGCTTTTTTACTAGATCTCGAAACCGCAAGACCTGCCTTTCCAAAAATTTAATCAGTTTTGCATCCTGTCAATACAAGTAAAATGGTTTTTGAATTATTAAAATCGGACGCTCCGTTTTCTCCTAAAAACTGAGTTACCGTTTTTGGCACTTTTTGCTCCGTATCTTCGTAACGGCTAGACCTACCTATGCCAAAAACTAATCAGCACACACACATACACACATGCATCCATTTTTCTAAGGTATGCTAAAATGTTCAGAAACCTCTGAAACGTAAAGTTATATAAAAAATTTCATTTTCGATTTTTTTTTTCGATTACTATAACTAGCCCTACGGGAAGTTAAAGATGTCATCTTCAATTTTGTTATTGATATTTACTTGTATCTAATTGTATTTTAGTTCATATTCATACTAATTCACAATTCAAAACTCTTTTCGAAATATTATATACCTGAATAATACATACGTTTAAAAACTTATTGAAATAAAATCATTATAATCTTATTGTAATTAATAATAATAATTAATCTTATGAATTTATGTTCCAGATTACAGAAATCATACGTTTTTATGTTTCAGATTATATATGCGTAAAAAAATGATTACCGAATTTGTTACACTTGTATTTTAATGAATTTCGTGAAAAATACGCCGTTACGGATATCTATCAAACATAAAATGCAATCTTTGTTTTTTAACGCTTAGTAATATATTTAATTTCTATTATACAGCAAGAATATTTTTGAGAAAAAAATAGAAATCTAATCGAGAAACTTTTGTTTATCAAAAACTTTTAAGAGGCTTCTCCAACCAATTAGTGGTTAAAGTTATGAGATTTTAATCAAAGGTCCCAGGTTCGATACCCGCCTCGGGCAGCTTTACAAATAATAACAGTAGAAAAATAATAGAAAAATAAGTGCAAAATAGTAATAATAAGAAACCATCAACCCTTGGTTTGCTAACACAAATTTATTAATAAATAATGTTTCAATTTTATTAACACGGTGTCTAGAGGATATTCGGATAATCATTCGTGTGATAGTCATTTTGTATACAATAATAATGAGTCCGTTTAAAAATAAAACTTTAATTATATATCATATAAGTCTTTAGATTTTTTAAGCACAAGCATTTTGATCATTTTCACCATCGAACTTTTATCAATAAATAGTGACAGTGATTATTTTAAATATACTTCAAGTATATTTTCAGCAAGCGGTTGAGAAATTGGAAAACAAAAATACTGTCTCAACAATGAAGAAAATTCAACAATTAAGGAACAGTAAGTAAATATAAATATAATCAATCAAGTTTTAAAATACATAGATTTCAAATGTAAATAAAAAATGTAAAAAAAACATAATTCCTCGATATAACATTACCTCGTTAGAAATACGTTATTTATTCTTGGGTGTTCACAATAAACTGCTCCAACATGTCACATATAAATAATAAATTCTGAACAGGAAGATTGAAAAATATGATTTTTAAATATGCTAAAGCGCGAAATTATCAGACGCGTGATAATGAATTCAACTAGCATGTTGAGTTATAGTGCCTAACCATGAAACATCAAGATCCGTAAATGAATATATAATATTACTAGCTGACCCGGTAAACGTTGTAATATAAATAAAAAGTAAGGTATTTTTAAACAATTTCTAGAGAATCTAAAAAAAATATACTTTATTTTGAGTGGGTAAGGATGTGTTGTATGAGTGCTTTAGATAATAAAGTATTACAATACTACTACCTTTTTTGGCAAGTTTTTTTTTATTTACATTTGTGAATTACAATCTATCGTTATAAACAACATTCAATAATTTTAATGGTTTATTAAATAAGGAAAAAGGTCAAAAGGTCTCCCAGCGGTGATCCGATTCGATGTTGGTTATGTTTAGCTTATAAATGTAGTCCTGATGTGAAAAACATAAAAAAAGCCTACGAGTATTTGTACATATTATAGGATTACTAAAGGATATTAAAAAGGAACCGTTTTCTTCTGAGCCGTTCGATGGTTTTTTAGTAAATTTTTGGTCATGATGTTTGGGTGGTTCATTAACATTCATTCGTTTGACCTTATTTTGTTGATACAATCAAACTGGGAGTTTTATCCACTTTCTATGGAAAACCTGGTATAATCCATTCCAAGTCGTTTTAGTCTTTCGACTTATATAGTTTTAAACGATAATTAAAAAAATACTAATTACGTTTCCAGTTTTTCAGATTCTTCTTGAATAATTGTATATAATACTACTAAACTTATACATAATTTTCAAAATTCTGCGACGAAAGATAGAAAACAAATTAAGTATTTCTTCTTTGCCATTTTGTATGAAAAATTTTAAGTAAAATTCCATGAATTAAAGTAAAATTGATAAAACTCATATATAGGATAGCTAATATGTAATGCAACAAAGTAAAGCGCTATATTTTTTGCATTTTTGTTTAAATTTTATTGTTCAAAAGCAAAAATGTCGGAAATAACATAAAATTTTATAATCAGTTTTGATTTGTTCTAATTGGCCGCATTTAGCACGAATTATGGTCTTCAAACGGCCGACAAAGCCATAACCCGCTACACGAAAGTGGCTCTGGGGTATTTTGGCCGAATGCCCGCGAAGCGCCTTCTTGAAAAGATCGATACTTTGGTATTTTTTAGTGCAAACCTTACTCTCCAAAATGCCCCAGGCGCAAAAGTCCAACGAATTGAAATCCGGAGATTTTGATGACCATGCGGTGGAAATGAAGCGAGAAACGTTTTTTTTTCTAAGCCATTCTCAGTTGACGCGTGCTGAGTGCGATGTTGCTGAGTCCTGTTGAAATGTCCATGGTCTGCGGCCGAAATATTTGTCTAGCCAGAGCTTCAATACTGCTTTTAAGGCCTTTTCCGATAATTTCGGCAATTATTTGGATCCCATGATCAATAAATACAAGCGGAAAGTGATCATCGACCGTTACGGTGGTTCACACCATTAACGTCGCCGGCGCTTGGGTTCTGATGGCCAATCAAAGGTGTAAATTTTCAGCTAGCCTCTTTGGCTAAAAACCCCGATCATTTTGTTTGTTCACAAACCGCTCAATTTGGAATGACTTCTTATCGGAGAAAACCAAATTCGGAGACTAGCCATTTTCGTGCAAACGAAGCAACTCCTTGGTTTTTTACCGTGTGGGAGTTTGGCAGGTCGCGCCAAAATGAAGTAAACACCGTGATAAATTAAAATGATCCATGGGGTTTTTGTAGAATTTATGTTAAAAGTTTATGTGAATAATAATACAACCGTTCATGCAGAAGGATGAAAACAGACTGACTGATTATATATTCTTTCTAATCACATGCATTACAAAATTAACGATCATAGATAACATAACAAGTGTAGATTGACACAAAACAAAAGAGAAGCATTATACATAAACATAGAGTAGACATAGAGTGTTTAGTAACAAACTTCAACAGTTTTGTTTTCCAAACAACTGTAGTCTGTCAGTTATATATTTACAAATGAATTTATAAAATTCTTTACTGAAATAAAAGGTAATCTCATTATATTCGGTAATTTTATTAATTCCCGAAAGTAGTGACCGTTGACGTTAGATCAAAATATAATGCCGCAATAAAAAGGACATGTTCTTTGCCATAAATTACGCATCCCAGATATCATCCCTAACGACTTGGAACTTTGGTTTGCCTTAGTCGCGAAGGCATTTGCATTCCACCGAAGTCAGGGACTTAATAATTAATGAACCTGAAGAGATGCCTTACTCCACATTAAAGACAGCGTTAATAACAAGATCACGCATTTCGAAAAAGACAAAGATGCAGTTATTGATGACGAATGTAGACCTAGCAGACAAGGCACCATCTCAATTCCTGCGTCATTTACGGGCTTTAGCTGGGACTTCAATGACCGATAACGCGGTTAAAGCAATATGGGTGTCCAGATTACCCGGGAAAATTCTATCGTTTTTAGAAGTGGCTTCTAGACAGTGTTGCCAGGACCGCCAAGAAAAAAACTGTAGAAAACTGCAAATGTCATATTGAAAAACTGTAGATCTATAGTTTTATATTTTTATTATTAAATGATGGTAATGAATATAATATTTTTGAGAATGTAATTAAAAACTAGAAAAATCATGTTATTAGCATAGTTTTATTAAATATTAACATAATATACATTTTCATAACATAGATAAATTAGCATAATTGTATAAGAGTATCAAGAGTCAAAAAGATATATTATATGATATAAATAAATAAATATGCATTTTCATAACATATATGAATAAGCATAATTGTATAAGAGTATCAAGAGTCAAAAAGATATATGATATAAAATAAATAAATATGCATTTTCATAACATTAAATGTATAAGAGTATCAAGAGTCATAAGGATATAATAATTGATATAAAATTTTAGAAAAATAATATTCTTGTAGGAAATTCATTTTTAACTCTCCGACATCTCAATTTCAATGTCAATGTCTTCTTGATATTCCGCTTCATCTTTATT